AAACATCTTGGAAGCGTTAGCATAAGTCATCTGAAGCCGTCAAGCAGCCAGAGTGGATTTTTCTACTCACACTGGGTGCTGTCATCAGCTTTTTCACACTTCACACACATGCAGCTGAAAATTGATACGATGTGAATCCATGACTGAGAGCAAACTAAGCATCGCAAAGACAACCACAAATGGAATATGTAGTTTTTTGATGGCATTTCCACTGATGCAACTGCAAAATGACTTCTGTGATGACATTTTTTTGTGAAATTTAAATGTCATTCATCAAGTGAGTTTTTATCTGCTACCAGAAACTGATAAAACTTGCCTTTCGAGTATGGAAACGTCTATCTACTGATTTTGTCTTTAACATGTGAATGCAGCAGTACAGCCATCCTGCACTCCCTCCACCATTCCACAACCAAAAACTCTCTTGCACACCTCCCTCTCCTTCTCCACACTCCACCTGTTTCGTAAAAACCATCCCTCCATCATTTCCTCCTGTCTCCCTCCTGACAGTGAGGTGATTAGGAGAGAGCGCAGACATGCTGAAAAAGCAGCTTAGCTGTAATTATCGTCTCGGAAAGAAACAAACAGTTCATCAGAGCCATCCTCCGCAGACTTAACAACTGTTGCCAGGATATATCAAATGCTCGACAACCAGCCGTTTCCTAGGTTACCATTGTCTCCATGTGGCTGGAGGCTCTCTGTACTGATGACTTTCTTTTTTTTGTAATTTGTTTGAAATGGCAACATAGTGTACCCCATGAAAACACTAAAAATATTAACATATACACACATGCTCACACCATCACCTACACTCTCAGATGTAACCAACATGTAGATTGTAATTTCAACTGCGATGTTTTCTGTTACATTCCATATTGTTCTTGCTCTAATACACACACATACACACACACACACAAACACACACAAACCTATACCAACCTTTGCCATAAATGATTTATCTGACATTTTCCACAGTTATTACAGAGTAAAGAGTGACAGGACATAAGCTGAGGGGCAGAAAGGAGTGTAATATGCTGTCACGGGCTTGATTTAAAACCAAGATATCATGGTTGCATGTTGCAGTGCATGCAGACTGCTGGACCAAAATACAGCCTGAACCTACGCTGGCCTTAGTTTCCATTAATATAACACTGTGTAGTCAGGCAGCAGCCAGGATCAGAGTTTAATAAGAGGATTTTCTCACATAGTCTCCATGTACATGACATGTTTCTGCACTAATTTTCTGCTGTGTAAGAGCAAAAATATGTTAAGCCACATCTCTATATACATACATATTATATATCTATATTTTAGTCTACATGTGTTTAGTTAAAGGGCAACCTAAGATACACGTGCCAGCATGGGCAAGCAAAGCCATTTTCAGTTTCATGTGAGAAAGCAAATTAGGAGGATCTACTGGTAGAAATGAAATATAAAATTTATAGGTATGTTTCATTAGTGTATAATCACTTGAATATAAGAATCATTATGTTTTTGTAATTTTCGAATTAGCCTTTTATATCTACAGATGCTGTGGGTCGCCTTCCATGGAGTCTGGCATGTTAAATAGCCATGTTTCTACGGTAGCCCAGAATGGACAAACCAAACATTGGCTGTAGACAGGGGCGAATGCTCCTTCACACTCGGAAGGGAGTGAATCAAGGAAGCTGTGATCTGCAACTACACTGCTAGATGATACTAAATCCTACATTTTGGTCCTTTTTATATGACATTAGTGTAGTTCCACAATTAAAAACTGCTAAATTACATCATTGTTCAAATAGATTAGACCAGAATGATGAATTACCCTTCTTGTTGCACCACAAAGGAGATACGGCAGGTCTGTCATGACACAGCAGTGGATGGTATAAATATGTCTCCTTGAATTATTGGTGTTAAATTACTGTCAGGTTAGCAGACATAGTCACCAAACAACAGGTGGCATAACCTGGCAAAGAGGAGGGCACCAAGCACCAATCTGTACTTGACAAGATGAGAAAATCTAACCGTTAGCCTTTTCAGCCCTATTGGGCGATAGAGTTCAGGTTGGTTGCAAGAGGAGACCGAACCGTATGCGCATTTTGCTGTGAAATCTGTGGTATGTTGAACAAATTGGAAAGCGCTATTTTGAAACCAAGCATGAGAAAAACAAAGGTGAATCTGATAAAACTGAGTTAATCAAAAGGGCGGTGTCAAAATCTGCTAAAGCACAAAAAAAACATGTACCTCTGAAAATTCAGGCTACAAAAGGGCGGGCATATAATTTCAGAATGTATTGCTAAATGTGGGGAATCACTTGCAGATGGAAATACATAAAGGATGTTTTTCTCACAGTTTTACTGCATGGACTGAACCGAATAAAAACACCATCGTATCCAGGATTAAAAACTTGCCTCTGTCTGCGAGAACTATTGAGAGGTGCATTACTAAAATGGTTTTGCATGTGTGAATGAGTAACTGAGAGAGGGGACCCTGTGCTTACAATAGGCCTACAACTCTATTATTATTATAAACAAGGTCAGACTTCCAGTAACTAACTATCAGTGCATAAATTGAAAATAAATGAAACGTGCCTTAACGAATGCCACAGGCAATACCGGCCGACTTCATCTTTGTAAACTGACACTCATTGAAGAAAAGGTTGCAGACTCCTTGTCTAGACTCATGTAAACACAAACCTTTATTTCTTACCCTTATCTTCAATGTTAAACAGTAAATGCCTAACACGTACATGTTTCTGCACATAAAGTAAATCAGTATGTAATATTGTAAGTACAGTTAGCTGATCCTAACCACAGCCTATTTCAACCACCTATCTTACTCTTATGAGGTATTCAACAGTACACTCAGACTACAGTTCAGTGTGTGTTTCCATACAGGCTCTATGTTCATGATACAATTAGAACTGAAATGATTATTTGATTATTTGATCAACAGAAATGTTATTGGCAATGGATGGATAATGGATGAACAGTTTAAAGGACCAGTTTGTAGGATTTAGTGGCATCTAGCGGTGAAGTTGCAACAGAATGAACACCGCTTACGTCTGTATTTGACGACCTGGGAATGAAGGCCCTATCTAGAGCCAGTGTTTGGTTTGGCCATTCTGGGCTACTGTAGAAACAGGGCGGTTCAACATGGTGGACTCCATGGAAGGTGACCTCTCTGTAGATAAAAACAGCTCTTTCGAAGGTTACAAAAACACAACAATTCCTATATTCAGGTGATTATACACTAATGAAAACATACATGCATACAAATAGATCCTCCTAAATGTTTCTCACTAGACCTTTAAGTATGTATTTTAAGCTAAAATGCCACAAAAAAAAAAACTCCTAACTCCTCTAACTTTTGAGTATTTCTTAGTTTTCCTCGACAAGACTACGATAGTAAACTGAATATCTTGGAGCGTTGGACTGTTGGTCGGACAAAACAAGCAATTCAAAAAATGTCAACTTGGGATGGTGGTAATTGATAAATCAAGAAAAACATTGGCAGGTGAATTGATAACAAAAAGAGACGTTAGTTACAGCCCTAGATGCAACACATGCTCTCTCATCCTGCACTGGTGCAATGACCCAGTTTCCACCACCAGTACATCCCTTCTAAGTAGAATTCTCTAGTCATCATAGCTGTAATGATCTCCTTTAATGAATGCTGCACCTGTTTTCATTTCCTGTTGCTATGGTTTAAATTTGAAGATCAGTTTATTGGCCTTCTTATCACTCAGTGGATTAGTGCCTGAATATCAGACATTAAGGTATTTCCCATCCAGTTCCTTCTGCTCCACTGGCACTGGATCAGTTGCTCTCTGGGGAAGCAGCTTTTACTCTCTCTGATCCTAAAAGGTTTCCACTCGGATATATAATGCTGGTACAGAGAGTAGTGGAGGAATTAAATGAATGAGGAAGAAGCTCAGACGGTGGCCTTCGACTGCAACAGGTGCTGCTCACATGCTTTACAGGTGTGCTGCTGCACAGAAATAGGTGAAATGTATCTCATCTCTGGTGCTGAAGGACATATATACACACAGTCACACACACGCTAAGAAGGAAATGTGCCCTGTTCCCACTGATGGACAACAGAAGCTGTGGCAGAAGGGTGGCATTAAAAACCAGCAGGGGATGTAGTGTGATGAAAATGTCAGACCAAAACCAGCAGGCTATGTTCTGTAACATGTTTAATCAAATTACAGTGTGTGTGTGTGTGTGTGCATTGCTGTGTGTGCATCAATGTATGTGTGCCACCTTGTTAGTTTCTGTGCCCACTGTGTTCATATACAATCTGTATTTGTTTACAAGTATATCATGTGCCAGGATTTGTGCATAGAGCACAAATGCATGTGTGTTATGGAAGTTGTTAAGCACAAAACACGAATCTGCAAGTGAAGTAAAGTTATAAAGTGTGTAAGTGAAGAAAGTGAATGCTTTTTGACTAAAAAAAAAACCTCATTTCGCAATCACTCATCTTAAAAGCTGATCTCACTCTGTTCAGCTGTTTGACAGATTCTGAGCACTTAAGAATTTAAGAGGGTGGTTGCTACCAATTTCTAGTTAAAAGGCTTTTACGGGACATTTAGGGTAAATTTATTTAATGACTAACCCAGTGGAGCGCACTGGAAAGTAGCCTGATGTGACTTAGAGGACTGGTTCTAACAGGTTTGTGCCTCAAATTCAACATCGTTTGATCTGCTCTAGGGACAGCAGGCAAAAAACCCTGCAGCTTGTTCAAATCTAGCGGCACAATTACATTTACAATCTTCTATTACACTCTTTATTCTGTCCTTGTTCATGAATCTGTCCCTGCACTCCCAAACCCAGACTTCCACATTGATTACTACTCAAATTTGTTGCGTGTGTGTGTGTGTGTGTGTGTGTGTGTGTGTGTGTGTGTGTGTGTATACTGCTCCTTGTGCAAGCCCCCAGTGTTTATGCATGGTTATGCTTAGCCACCTGTGTGTTTGTGCGCGTGTTGGTGTGTGTGTGTGTAATTGCGTAACTCACCCAGCCACTACGATGAAGAAGTCCAAGCGGTTCCAGGCGTCTCCAAGGTAACACTTTTTGCCAAAAATTCCCATAGCCACCATCTTTATCACCATCTCAATGGCAAAGAACACAAAGATGAAGTCATCGAAGCCCTGCAGAGAGAAAGAGACAGAAAATAGAAGTTAGCATTGCAAGGACACTGATATTGCATATTACCTTGACATCAGAGAGGTGCAGCATTGATAATAGTTTCCTTCATGACACAAATGTCTTAAATGAGGATCCTCAAGAATTTGACCATGATGGAGCACAGGAATATATTTTTTATGTGGTGTTTAAGCCAGTGGTTCCCAACCTTGGGGTCGGGACTTCCACTAGGGGTCGCCAAAGCGTCATGGGGGGTCGCAAGGCCTTCTTGATTTTAATGGGTGTAAGAAAACATAAAAAATATCTTACCAGAAACATATTTTTGTGTACTGTTTATCTGTAATACAAGAACTTGTGTGACCAGGTAAGCCGCCATACTGTCCTGCTATAGACGGGTTGAAACTGAGAGCGGCCAATAAGCACAGCTCAACTCGCAGTAAGTGCTTACATCTTATTTTAGCGTGTTAGCATGCAAATGTTTGATAATTAGCATTAAACACAAAGTACAGCTGAAGCAGAGGGGAATGTATATTGCAATGGATATGCCAAATCACCATCACCAAAGTACAGTATCATTATTAGTATAGTATCTGAGGGAAATCCATCCAATATTTATACGCCAAGACATTTTGAGAATTTCCAGTGCTAAGAACTTTTGTCAGAGTATTATTTTTAAGGACGTTGGAGCTCAACTTCAAACACATCTTTGCATTCATAACTGCAGTTTCTTGTTATATATTGGTCTATATGTTGTTATTTATATAGCAGATATATATATATAATAATCTATGACATGGTCTGATTTTCAGCCATACCAAGTATTAGTCAGACTCTAATATCTGTCATATTTGATGTTTAAAAATAACCCACTGAGAACCTTTGACAGAAATGTGATACTTTATTAATTCCTGCAGAGGAATCTTCTTTTCTCTTTGCCCTGCTGCCAGGAGGTCGAGCTCCCTGTGGAGGGGGTGACGAGAAAAGAAAAGATAACAGTCTCTTTGCAGCTGAAAAGGATTTAGTGTCTTGCTCAAGGACACTTCAGCAAGGCAGATGCTTGCCAACAACATGTGTCCTCCGGCCCATTGCTGCCTTAACAGAGACTCAAGGGAAAAATGGCTTCTGATCCAGAGTATACAATGTAATATCCTGGAACAAGCCGCTCATTGCACTAATCAGTATTCCTGCCCTCATTACTGTCTGTCTGTCTGTCTGTCTGTCTGTCTGACTGTGCATCAGCTCTCCAAATCATTATCAGACTGGACTGAAGAAGAAAACAAGGGTGAGAAGGAGGACAGGAGTTGAAAGGAAGACAACCTTAATTCTTGAAATATGAAAATCAATAAATACATTTAAGAGGCAGAATAGACGGAATTGGAGATGAGGAGGAAAAAATCCATCTCAAAGTCAAAAAATAAAAGAAAAACTCTGGAAGGAGATCAAGGCACAGGACACCCACTGATAGATGAGTCATCCAAACATGAACAGAGAAATGTATAAATATATCAAATCCTGTTAGCTTAGGCAGAAGCTAGCCTCTCGCTGCTCTAAAGTTCACTGTACGTAAAATGTAGAGGTTCACACAGGAATGTGTGTGTGTGTGTGTGTGTGTGCAAGGCAAAGTTCTCTTCCGCCCCATCTCTGGTGAGCGTTCATGCAGTCTGCCTAGAAAGCCCAAAATATTTTACTCGACGTATAGGGTCACACTGCTATTTCCATCAGACAGTTGCTTTCTTTAACAAACAGCTGCCCCAGGTTAACTCCTTAATACTCACCACACATCACTCCAGATGTTTTACACAATACTCATTTACTCCAAAGAGGCTGAAGAGCCTCCGAGCAGATTGTTCAGTGATGCAGCATCCCCCAAAAGTAAAGGTAGAAGAAAAAACATTGTGCTCAGTGTTTGATCTAAATTGAATCTGATCTGTTTGTCTCCTGGAACCAGCTTCTCGATGCCAGAGTAGACGACAAATGATACAGTGATATGGATGTTGTGCACTGTCATTATGTAAGGATTGCCAGCATTAATACCATACTGTAGTACTGTACCACGGTGAAGTCACTGCTTTCTGACTGCTTCATAATTTAACACTGTCACTGTTTTTTTCACTTTTTTAAAACTTTGGATTATTAAACTCTCCTCCACTTAGAGCCCGACTGATATGGGATGTTTGAGGCTGATATTGATACAAATTTTAGAGGGGAAAAATTCTCAGATTTGTGGTAGCCAATATATAATTTTTGAGTTGGAGAGAAAATATACCTTTTCTGTGTAGATTGTGCACAGATTTTGCACCAATATGCTTTAATACGCTGCTTTCTTCAACAAATAACTTTATTCGTTTAAAAATGTTTATTGAAATATTCTCCAACATGTTAAAAAGTTGAACATACATATATACAATATACATTGTAAAGTAATTCGAGGTGAAGTTGCTGAGAGCTGTTTCCTCTCTCTCACTCTGCACTGCTAGCCACAGTATTGTATAGGCCTATCACAGCACACCATGCTGGACAAACTTTGTAGTGACACAAATATTTCGCCACAAAAAAACAACAGTTTTAATATTGCTGCATATTGGATTATGTCAAAACTGATACGATATCTGCGATAAGCCAACATCAGCCAATAACATCATCCAGCCACAATATATCGGTCAGGCTCTACCGCCCCTGATTTATTCAGGACATTTTTAGAACCAATACTTTAAAATAAGGCAAAAATAGTGTTTACAGATTCAGTTGTATGATGAAATTGTTTGTACTAAAGAAGAATTTGCTTCAAAAAATGCTGCCCATGTTGTATGAGTATACACATTTGTGCATCGCCCTGACAAAGGCAGAGGAAATCCTTTAAATGGATATCACATGGCAGGTATTATGTTGATCTGTCAGGTGATGATCAATCCCCATTGATTGATCATCACCTGATATCTTCTTCTAATCTGGAATGCCCCTAGCACTGCAGTCATTGACCTTGGGACAGACATGTGCTATCCCCATGACCATGACACACGGTATCGCCAACTGCTTCTTTTCACTTGCTGGCAATGATCTTCATTGGGAGAGCAAAATACACAGAGTAGTTCATGCTATTCTCCACAGTTCCAGCCTTTAATGTGCAGGTGCCTGATCAACAAGTAGGAGTTACTCGCGTACTAGGGAATCTAGCACTGGGTGGCAACTGTAAAGCTGTAAAGAGTTGTGCTAGGTGTAGCAAAAGAGATTTATTTCAGGTAGGGAAACAAAAACTGCACACAGGTCTTTTAACTTGACATCGACGTTGGATGACTTGTTTGGCAACTGACGCTTTTTCAAGAGCTCATAACTTTGTGTTAATCCTAATCTTGTTGTTCTGTTTGTGTTCAAATTAAATAATGAGATACAATTAATTAGTGAGCTATAGGTAGGTGGACAGAGCTAGTGGTTTCCCCTGCTTTCAGTCTTAATGCTAAGCTAAGCTATCCCCTCTTGGCTCCAGCTCAATGTTCTCACATCTAGCACTCAGAAAAAAAAAACAATTTCTATTTATCAAAATGTCAGACAATCCCTTTAATACTCCAGTAAAGAAATGTTTTGCTTTTTGCTATAGTATACATTGTTTTAATTATATTTTTGCTGTACGTGTTTCTACTAGAGATGCGCAATTAATTGCAGTATGTGTGAATGGTTTCTGTCTGCCTGGATATAAAAGCCGCATTGCACTTGTTAGCAATCAGCTCTTCAAAAGAATCTCTGCACATTGGACCTTGCATGATAGATAACAGAGCACATCAACAATCTGTCGGAAAAAACAACCAGAAAGTCAAAACTATTGACAGATGTTACAAGTCAAGATGCATGACCGAAAGAGAACGAGCTTGCATTGTGCAAAAGAGAGAAGAGCAGAAATGTTAACCTCCATGCTGAGCATTAAATGACTGCATTGCTTTCTCCTCGGATACTCCATCCTTCTATCTCTGCTCTCTTTTGTTTAATGAAGGAGACGTTCCTCTCGTCTCTGCTGGGGAGTAATTACTCATCTATTTTGCATTAGCTTAAGCCTGCATGCCTGCAGAGCCCATAATATAAGAAACACCCTTAAGACTCAGGGTGATGGAGACAATATCTTTACTGTCACACACACACACACACAATGTCAGACACATATACATCTGCAAACAGATTACACAACACATGAACACATACAGTGCATGTAACACATTCAACATGGGACCAAGCCTTTAGGGACTACAATGAATTGACATTGAGCTGATGTCAGCCAGCTCATCTTTCCCTACTGTCCTTCCTCAAACAAACGCACGCAAACACACAAGGCACAGCTGACTTTCAAATTCATCAAAGTCAACAGGACATGCTAGCGAGGCATTCCCAGTGGAGCATACTGGTGTGGCAGCACATGGTAATACAGCCCCTGCAATCAGGATATCGATTCCCCGAAACTTGTATCACACATCAGTGGAGCGTGAAACATGCTGCGTGACTCTGTTGAGCATGGATTGGATTTAATATCTAAACATACAAGAAAAAGCTCTGTAGATATCACATCAATCACAGGCTAAGGTCTCCTAGGTTTCCTGACAGTGGCGATACCAAGCGGACTGTTTACCAAAATGGAAATGTGTGTGTGTATTGTCGCCATGGTTCACAGGCTTCTCTGGCCTCCACACGGACATGCAACCAAACAGACACACACACGCGCATGCGGTTGCCTCGGAGGGAATAGACACCAGTGACCTGTGCTGATCGGCTCACTGCTCACACAATCCCTAATTTCTACCCTCCACTGCTTTTTCTCTCTGTGAAGAGACTTACAGAGGGAGCGAAATATTTTAAGTCCACTGGAACATTTTCTGCAACTTTCGGAATATCTCCATAGAATAATGAGACTTTCACATTATATGAAAACAAAACCAAAAAGTTAATTATGTTATATCATCCAGCCTAATCCCAGTTCAGACAAGCCTCGCGAAATTGGCTTTCATTCGGCGTGACTGTCACA